CACTCTGCCTGGCCTCCTCCTTCCCTCTTTCCCATTCCAGCTGTCTCCCTTCTTCCTGGTCTCCCCTTCTCCGGCTGCGTTGCTTTAATGCTCTTATTTGCATCTTCTGCTTTTCCAGTGCTAGGCTGAGTGTTGTAAAAGCAGGGCGATTTGCATGCCAGCGGGGGGCAGGGCTGGAAGTGAGAATGGGACTGTGTGCTGTAGCTCTTGGCACAGCTGTTGGGAATCAAACTTGAGTCAAATTATGTCGCGGGGAGCAGGAGAGTGTGTGCTCCGACTGGGACTAGGGGAGAGAACTGGGATAACCGGCATGGAGAGAGGCTGACAGCGACTGGGCCGCGAGTCCTGATAAGCTGGTCGTGACAGACGGAAGCCCAAGAGAACCGGGGCAGAGAGAGGTTGAACTCTCTCTCGGCGTCCTGGCCAAATTTCCCATTGGCCCTTACCAATCATGGCCTCCTAATAATCCCCATCTCTGAACTGGCTTCATCACTCTGCTCTCCTCCCCACTGAGAGCTGATGTGTGGTGAGCGTTCTGGCGCACTATGGCTGCCGTTGCATCATCCAGGTTGGGCTGCACATTGGTGGTGGTGGAGGGGAGTCCCCCTTACCTGTAAAGCACTTTGAGTGGAGTGCCCAAAAAATGCGCTATATAAGTGTAAGTAATATTATTATTATTAACCTGCTTTGTGTTTTTTTTTGCCTTTTTCTCTTCTCCTGCCGTTCCCCTTTTCTGAGCTTCTTTGCTTTCCTCTTTTTCTTGATTTCCCCGTTTGCTGAGTTTCGGAAACGGACCTGTAACCTCGGACTTGTACTCGTACTTGTACTGGAGGCTGGGTTAGCGTCCTCTTGCACAGCACTGCGTGGTGAGCACAGGACAGGCATGTTGTCAGAGTGCATTGGAGATAAGGGGAATGGAACATGGCGGACGTGAACAGAGTAATACCGCACTCACCCCTGCTTTAAGAATAGTGGGGTCAGAAATATTGGGGTACTAGAGCATGCACAGTACCCATGTCTGAGAGCGCGACCCAGCCTCTTACCACAGTTTCAATGGCGTATCTGTCTTGAGTGAGCCCTGCCTGTCAGTGTCCAGTACTCTACCTGGGACCCGTTTGCCTTAACAAGTGCCTCCAGAACAAGAGAGTGAAGATCACCTTCGGGTTCAACTACAAGAACAAGGACCACTACGGCATCATGATGTACCACAAGAACCGGCTCATCAAGTCCTACGAGAAAGTGGGGTGTCAGATTAAGGTACCCCGTTCTTTCCCCTCCGTGCAATGCAGGGGTCCAAAATCCTGGGCATGGGGACCCCCACTAATATGCACTCGATTAAAAAAAAAACGGCAGAGGTTCTTACCGGCCTGTTTGTTGGTTCAGCTAAGGATTCATGTCAGTAAGGAGCTCAGTGGGTTCGTGAATTCCTGGGTACAGGTTTGGGGAACCCCTGGTGTAAAGAATTCATCCATCAATCCATCCATCCATTTTTTAACCTCTTCTTCCATTACAGTGTTGGGCGGTGGGGGGGGGGAGCCAGAATCGATACTGGCAAGCCAAGTGCACAAGGCAGGGTACACCCTGGATGGGACACCAGTCCATTACACACTAGGACCAATATTACCAGAAGCCAGTTAACCTACCAGCATGTCCTTGGACTGGGGGAAGAAACCCACATGAGCACAAGGAGAACATACAAACTCCACACCTATGGCCCAGGGCCCTAGTTCTTTCTGCAAGGCACCACTGTGCCACTATGCCACCTTAAGAGTTCATCTTTAGTCTTACTGTTTCAAGTTAGGATTGCTGAAGAAATCTGACAATGATCCTTCAGTTCAGATTAAATCAGTTTTATTTTCTCCAGAGAAATAAGTGCCTCTGGAGTCCGCTTCCCCCTTTCACCCATCAGTAGGGGGGCGCTGTGCTCTTTTCCGTTCTGATCCTGGCTCTGCCTGTCCCCTGTCTGTCCCCTGCAGTCCACCAGCCGAGGGTCAGGGGTCGGGGTCATCGGGGTCATTGAGTGCAACTTCCTGAAGCCAGCGCACAACAAGCAGGACTTTGAGTACACCAAGGAGTACAGGTAGCGTGGGGGCAGCCCAGCATGGCTGTCAGTGTGTGTGTGATGCAGTTCGTTCCAAGTAAGCAACTGCACTTGACAGTGCCAGCCACTGCTCTTGGTCTTACTCTTTGCAATACAGCAGTTCTGTGAAGCACAGGGATTTCCAAGCGTGCACGATATAAGATATTGGACTTTTCTAAACGTAGTAGAACTCCTTGGATTATTCAGTCACGTAGTAATGATAACATGATCTTCACAAGGAGTGGACAATTTTTTTTCTGAGGAATCCTCTCCTTTTCAATTTATGCCAAAGCGTAGATTTTTTTAACGGTTACCTCTTTTAAAGCTTGTCAATTTAAAGCTGTCGTGCAGTTGACAAAGTAAAATGTGATGAGT